TAACCGAACTATTTGGAAGAGGTGGTTTTAAATTGAGAAAATGGTCGTCTAATTCACCCGAACTTGCAGAATCCTTCTCAGAAGACAACACGAGCATCAGTCTGGTTCAACTGCTTCAATTTGACTCCATTTGCCAGAGTGCTTTGGGCGTGCTGTGGGACACAACATGAGATGCTTTTCCCTTCCAGTTCCAGCTACCAGATAAGCCGGTGACAAGGAGAACCATATTTTCCAGCGTCAGTTCGTGGTTTAACCTTCTAGGTCTCATAGCCGCTATATGCTTTGCATGAAAGCAGTTGCTGCAACCATAGTGTAAATCCAAAATGGGTTGGGAACAACCTCTCATTGCTGTAGATGCCAGTATTTGGGAAAACTGGGTACGCGTTGTTAGGTGTCTAGAAGTGGTTAAGATCCCAAGAAATATTAGAAACGAAGATTGGGGAGAAGGAGGGAGAACGGAGTTGTATGTTTTCTGTGATGCATCCGAAACAGGTTATGGAGCCGTCGCCTGCGCGCGATGTTGAGGCTAATCGGTGTTGACGGTCTACCGATTAGTCTTCTCACAGACCTGAAATAGCGCGCGACCTCTTAGTGTCTCGTTGCCCAAAATAGAAAAAGACAGTCGTGATGGTCGTGGACGTTTATTGGTGTATGGTGGTGCTAGAAATTATCGGATACGTGCCGAGGTGACGACTAAACAATGCAAGCAAATAATTGCAGTAACAAAGCGGAAGCGTGTCACGTGTTGCGTGGATTTGAACAGGACCCAGCTTATACATACAATTGAGCGGAAAACCGTGCTCAGTGAAACAAGCAGAAATAAAACAAAGAAGCAATAAAGTTGGAGTCAGAGTTGATTGTGAAGAAAATATGAACGGAAATCGTCCTCGTGGATTGCTTCTTTTCTTCCTATAATCATAGTCACTACAGCACCCTCTGATAAAAAACAAGCAAAAGCTTTCTTTTCAGAACCGATTTCGATAAACAGGCAATCGTTAGCGAGTGCGGCCGTGCTGCGAAACATTGACTGTTATGTTTGGACCGTTTTGCTTAAGTCGAACACGAACTAGATTTGTAGCGTTGGATGTCAGCGTGGGAACCATATTGACTTATCCCAAGTCATTCTTTGGATAATTCACAGATTCCGAATCGTTAGTTGCACCATGGTGTCAGGTTGCTCTTATCGTTTCCAGCATCCATGATCGTTGGCGTGCCAGAATGAACGAAGTTGACCACTTGTTGTTCATGTATGCGACCGCAGAAACGTAACTCGTCTTCAACAAACTCTTCAGATTCAAGAGTATGACGATTGTGCGAGAAGGTACCAAATTCTCGTTCATCCTCGAGGCAACCAATGTGCGTTTCGTATGACCTGATCTTTGGAAGTAGAAGATTGTCGCAGAAAACTGGTGTGACACCCTAACATTCATAATGGCTGCATCAATCATAAACAATTATTAAGCATAAAAAATAAATATCGAGATGAGGCGCCCCGTGATATAAGTCGTAATAGGTATGGATCACGTTATACGCTTGTGTGGATCGTGTTCTACTCAATCCCACAGACGGGCAGGCAAAACAATCCTTCGACCTGAACGTGAGACTGATGTCTCATCCTGATCTGATAAGGTGCTGGTGTACGTCAACCAATTCGCACTTCAGTGATGCGTAGCCGAACCGATACGCATCCTGAAATAAAACACGATTGATCCGTGATGTTCTACGGTACTCATTTAGAGAAATCATTACAAAATGTACAATAAAGCAAAACTCAAATATGCAGCCAAAAGCACTCAAGCAAGCGAGCCAAATATGATGTCCAGGGAGAGCCAAACAGTCGCTCACGTTCTCTGACCACGCAAAGTTCAAACGTGCCGGGTATTGAATTAACAGATAAAGAATAATGTATGGTGTTTGTGATTGAAAAATGCGAATAGAGAAGCAATAGACAGATAGAGTTACGTCACCCTGAATCATCATGGGTTTGGAAGGATTTTCAAAAATGCAACACGAAATACAGCTGGTAGAATGTTGATTTGAACGTCAGACAGTTGTCTCATTGGGAATCATAGCAGGTACTGTCATTTTTGAGCTCCACTCTGATGTAGATGTCTCAATCATCTGCCGTGCAGGAATAACATCGAGTCTCGAACTGGCGTTTACCATGCCATCGTCGAAATATGCTGTCTTGAGAAATTTGATGTTAGTGGTATCAACGCGGCCATGTCAATCAACTTTTCGTAATGCGAAATCCCTCGAAAACGTCCTTCGTAAGGCCCCTTCATCGATTTACGTATTGCATCAATTCGAATGAATACATGCGAACAGGTTAGGATTTCACTGCGTATGAAAACCTTTCGTTGCTGTATTCCAGTTTTTGCCGGAGACAGCGATTGGATAAACGTAGACAAACGTTGCAAGTGGTCCTGTTTGTCAATGTAATCCATGTTCCGTGGCGTGAAAATTCCCCAGGCAGTCGTTGTGTAGTGCCGAAAATGAGTTCAGCAGCTGTACATGGGATATCTGCCTGGATGCATGGCGTAACGGCAATCCGAACAACGTTCGATACGAATCGCAATGTCTCGACTTTGACTGACCAATTTTCCAGTACGTAGGAAAACAGCTGAACGACAGTTGAAATTTTGTTTCTATTATAGGCATACAGCAATGCATATTTGCAACTTACGACACCGTCGTTGGTCCCAGTTACAGAACAAACAGACAAACAGACAAACAATAGGGCAAATCACGGAGCGAAATCACAAAGATACCGAGCGGATAATGAAGAGACCGGTTAAAACAACTGTTAAATGTTGAGTTCATAATAGAGAAAGAAGAACTAAGAAAAGGAAGATAACGGAATTAGAAGAGTAGTGTACAGAAGCTGTTGAATAACGTCATACATTTTCTGACGCCCAACAGAACTAGAGGTAACATCTTGTACCAATAATGTCGATTAGCTTATGTCTAACCGGATCAACCATGAGTTTGAAGTGTCGGCGGAATTCGATGCCGATAATGGTCTGTAGAATGTCGGCAG